GCAGCACGCGCCACCCGCTCCCTGAGGGCTCAGCTTTCACTGCCTGACGCCTCTCCTATAATAGAAAGTGCTTTAATTAACTTAATCTGATGGAGATGTAACATGCTAAGCCCCTTTTAGATATGGGAGGAGAGGGAGATATATCTGTAAAATAACTCTTTGTTGTTTGAACCGGTTGTAACTTGTAAAATCTATTTAATGTCGCTCACCCTCGGCCTCTTCCAGCTCAGACCTGGTGGAGGCTCCCTCTTGTAGAAGAGGGACTGGGCGGCGGCGGGGAACAGGGGATCCTTGAAGAGCGCTCCTCGGTGCAAGCAGGCCCGCCTCAACTTGTGAAAGCTTTGACCCTGGAAATTGTTTACTCGTTCGGGCATTGTGGCTGCAGAGGCTTTAGGGAGGGTGGAGAGAAGAGAAATGGGAGAGATGAATATAGCTCATATGGACACTCAGGGTTACTTTAGTGGATTGTACTTATAAAACATACAAAACACTTATGTTTCTTTTCATTATTATTTATTTAACTGCTTGTTTTTTGCAAATTAAGAGGCCTAATGTAGCATATGATTTCTGAATGTACAAATATAGATATGGGAATCCACACTGGTTAAACCCTAAATCAATACATTTATATCTATTTCAAGTTAAGACATCAATGTTCTGACAGTGGAAGCACAGTTCAAATTAACAAGTGGACAAACATCAGTCAGCTGTTATGGAAACATTTGATGATTAATCTCCTCTGACAGATATTCAAATATCTACTTTAGCTGTACTGAAGGGAGTTCTGGCTCATTAATCAGCCACACAAACTTATTAAAAGTCATTTTGTTTTGACCAATAAGACAAAAGGTCACACAAGCAGGAAAACTGTTGCACTACCGTGTGGCAAACTCTGCAGTATAGAGCAGACATTGTGTTTAAATACATAATTTCATACCTAATGGTGCAAATTTAAACACTGAATATATTTGTTCACGCACACACAGTAAGTCGTTTAAATCTAATAATAATAATCTAATGTGCAATATGTTCAGTTGTGGAATGTAACTAAGTAATTTTAACTCCATTACATTTATCTGACAGCTTTAGTTACTAGAACTATTCTATCCAGTAATATCTCCAAATTTGGTAAATTTAAATTTTTCTGTTCTTTTAAAATGTTCCTACTTCTTTAGTTAAATAAAATATTTAAAAATGCTTTCTCAAACTCTTTAGAGATACAAACATGGTGATCTTCTATAATATAATGCATTGCTGTAAATTACACTACTCAACAGTATATAAAGTTAACACAATCTCTACTGCAGCAAACTGCAACACACACATTATTGTATAATATACAATGAGAACTTTTACTTTTGATATTTTAAGTACATTTTGCTGCTAATAGTTTAAATTAAGTGAGGTTTTAAATGCACGACTGGATGTGGACTATTGTCTGATTACTTCTTTCACCAATAATATGTTTATTAATAAATAATAATCAGTACCAGAACAGGTAGATACACACTGTAGATTAATATAAATACAGATTTTAAAATGAGTTGCTTTGGGTTCAGTTCCACTTATGTGCACCGAGCCAAATATGACAAACACTGAATTTTGTTAATGGCTGTGGACGTCTAAAGGGCTACATAGCTCCTGGCAGGGTCAGAGTGAAGTGTGTGTGTGTGTGTGTGTGTGTGTGTGTGTGTGTGTGTGTGTTTGGGGGGATAGGGTGAGGAGAGCAGTAAGGTAATAGTACCGTTTTAGTCATCAGTGATATGAACTGCTGGGGTCAGCAGCATGTGTGTGTATGTGAGCATCGACTGGTGTTTGTGCCAGTGTGTGTTATTCTGTGTCAGCAGGAGTATGCCAGGTGCATGTGTGTGTGTGTGTGTGTGTGTGTGTGTGTGTGTGTGTGTGTGTCAGGGTCAGCTCAGGGCCTTGCTGTGCAGAGAGGAAAACCAGAGATGAAACCTTGCGGGTTTGCAGATGCCACACAGGTCAATGTCATCAATTATCAGCAAGGTTTTGTTTTTCTTGTATCAGATTTATGCACAGAGACACTTTTTCATTTGTGATCACTTTAAACCAAACAGTTTGTTTTGGTTCAGTTTCAGAAAACATGCAGAATTACACAATGTTGTAGAGATTCTTGTGGTTTAAACTCTTTGTGCATTCAAACAAGTTTTATCCATTTAAACATATTTATTGCTTGCTTGTTTGCTGTGTGATGACTCTGTTTTGAGGTGTCTGTTTTTGCTCTGCTGTTAAGGAAAGACTAAACTGAACATGTGAAATATTCAAACAAAGAACATCCTTACAGGCAGCTTCACAGTTTGTATAAGAAGAGAAAACTTTTATTGCTGCACTAGTGTTTCAATTTGTTCATGATTTAACTGCAAGTTAACTATTACATATCGACTGTAGTTTACATTCACAACTATAATTAAAGAGACATTTTCTTAGTTTGTTTCTTAAATAATTTGAAAATATAAGTTTTATAATGTGTTTTTACACCAGCATGTACAAAGAATATTGATCTAAACATCCTCTGATAGCAACAGATAACTTCAGACACTCAGATATATGACTGCCTCGTGTTAGTCTGTGTATTATGTCATCAGTTTATGACTGAAATGTTGCTCAAGTTCATATTTTGATGACAGAAATCATCAGTGATCTTATTCATTAGAAGCCACAGGAGTTCATCAAGTATCATTATTAGTTTAATACCAGTTTTATAAGTGTGACCAATACAAACTGCTGGTAAATTCTTTTACCTTTATGTCCGACGAGATGTTTATCCACTTGCGTTCCTGAGATGTGACTATTCCTTGAGCTCAGACAGTGGATGCAGGACTATGTCCTCCTTTGGTCATTTAGAGAATCCCAATCTTTGAGAGAGGATCACACTCGCTCTGTTATGACAAACAGCCGGCATTTGTCTCCCTCTTGTTCTTCTTTGTCCCAGAGTCAGCTGTTAAAATCTGACTGACGCATTCTTCTTCTGTCCCCTGAATCTGCCGGGAGGATTCATTTCAACTCATCTGTGGCATCCGTTGTTTCACCAGATCTGGAGAGAAAAAGATTAAATTATATCGGAAGAACGTAAAGTGCAAACAGGCAAACTGATGCTGCAGCTTCGTGTGAGTGCTGGAAGTCCCCTGACACCATCTCTTATGACTGTGTATCGTCTGTGTGTGTGTGTGTGTGTGGGTGTGTGTGTGTGTGTGTGTGTGTGTATTTGTGTGACAGCCTCTAGAGTTGATGCACAAGTGTGTGTGTGTGTGTGTGTGTGTCCATGTGTATACAGCCGTGACACATGCAGAGCAGGGTGACACCGCCTGTGTAACTTTATCTCCCTGCACCAAGACAATAGACAGACAGTCACCTCGCTAGGAGACATAACACACAATTATAGCCTCCCAACAGCCAAATACCGCAGTTAACTGCAGTAACTCTTGAGTTTCAGACACTTCATCCTCTGACGCAAACTGTGTGCAAACTGCTGCTGGACAACACAAACAAACATGTTTTCTAGGACTGTTTGTGTGTGTGTGTGTGTGTGTGTGTGTGTGTGTGTGTGTGTGTGTGTGTGTGTGTGTGTGTGTGTGTGTGTGTCACTCACTGCTGCTCGTGTTCTTCTGGTTGGTGACACATTCTGTCTTCCTTTCCTTCCCCCCTCGTGTCTCACCACTTTTCTTTTCTGTCCTCATATTAACATGGCCTACGTCTCATTATCTTTTTTGGTGTCTTCTCCTCTTCCCCTCTCCTCTCCTCACTATCTTCCACAGACTCCTGAAGTATCTGTTGCTGTCGAGTGTGTTGCCCCTGACACCTGAGAAACCGTGGGGCAAGCGCCTTCTATTTTAACCACCTCACTGCCGAACATCAGGCAAATTATCCCCTCACTCAGTACTGACAATATATGTGGGAGTATTTCAAAATATGTTTTGTTTTGTTGATAAATGGAAGTACAACATACATTTATTGGCCTTTTTTAGTAAAAGTACTTAAATACGAAACTGTGAAAAATCCTCCACTACAAGTACAGGTTCTGCATTCAATACCATACTTGAGTAAAGTAAGTGTAAGTATTATCATCAAAATGTACTTAAAGTACTCATTATGTAGTAAAATGGTCCCTGTCTGAGTTTTACTATTATATATGATGTTTTTGGATTAATATTACAGCTGCATTAATGTGTATGTTGCATTGTATGGCTGCAAATGTTTAAAGTTAAGCACATTTTAACTACTTTATATACTGTTGGGTAGTTTAATCAACAGCAATGCATCATATTCTGTAAGATCATCATATGTTTGGAGTGTCACAGCCCTGTTACAACCACATATCTCTAAAAAGTCAAGTTTTCATGAGAACAGCAGTCTGTTTTCTGCTTTGTGTCAATGCATTTTTCAGATAATCTTAAAACGGTTTTTAGATAGTTTTAAAGTTAAAGAAGCAAAATAATAATTTATCATTTTCTCTACGCATAAAGGAAAATAAACATTTATACTGAATATGTGAAAAACAGATTTGCATAAAAAATGTGTCCATACAGGCAATGTAAACATTATATATATATATATATATATATATATATATATATATATATATTATAAGATATATGGTGTTATTATTAGTATTTTTCACAATTTCCCTTCGTATCAATAAGCGATGTTCATGGCCATATATTAGATTTTCCTAAACATGAACTATGAAGCCAGTAAATGTGTGTATGATGCAGATTTATAAGTAATAATATATAATAGAAATCAATTGATACTGATACGGGTCCATATAGGTCAGACAACAGCACGACTGTCGAGGAAAACGTTAAACTAAAACTAAAATAATACCAAATGTGTTCATACTTAATTTCAGTTAGTGTAACTGAAAAGATATTGAGTAATAAAAAACAATAACTTAACTTATGAACCACTAATGAGTTCGCGGTTTCTTCTATCGACAATCTTCCCTGAAATCCGACCAGCGGCCATCTACTACTCCTGTTACACTACGCATGCGCAGTTGGAAAAATGCCGATGTGGCTGCTGCGGTATTAAACTTTTGTTTCTCCCGCAGCTTTTAACAACAAACTGTTGCAATGAAACTTTTTATACTGGTTTTCCTTTGTGTCTGCTGTTCATTTGCAGCGGACGAAGACGAGAGACTGCCGAATAAATGCGAAGGTAGGACGAAGAAGTGACACCAGCTGCGACATTTGTTTACATGTGTGTCCTCGAGTCTGTGCCTGAACTGTAAGGCTTGTGCATAAATATATATATATTATATATAATAGTGTGGGGTTTTTTTTACGTGGCTTTCTTCCTGTATTCCTGCTGTCTGTCAGTGTGTAAGTTCCTGTCCGTGGAGCTGCAGGAGGCTCTGGACAAAACTGGTCGCTCCAAAGAAGTGCTGGAGGTTGGAGAAGTGCTGGACACAGGGAGGAGGAGGAGAAAGATCAAATACAACACCTCGTAAGTTCACTCTGTGGGGGAGAATCTGTAAAAAAAAAAAACTGCTTCTCAAAACAAAAACTGTAGGTTTAATCTCTAGTAAATCACTGTGCGTTGTTTAATCTGCTAGAAAACCTGCAGCTATGGCTTGTGTTTGCATGTGGAAGCTCATCATTTATGCACCTGTGTCCTTGTTGCAGGGAAACTCGACTGACTGAGGCGGTGGACAACATATGTGAACGCATCCTGCAGTATAGTGTTCATGCAGAGAGACCAGGCAGCCTCCGATACGCCAAGGTGGAGTTGTGTTACTCTGATTTTAATAGTTTTTAGTGCACTTAATGCTCAAATATGACATGATTTATGTCCTTTTACACGCAGCATGTTCCACGTTAATCAACCCTGAACCTTTGTTATCTTTTCTGCTCGTGTCATCTGCAAACATTTCTTTTAATCTGTGCAGCAAACTGACAGATAGGCTGGTTTGTGTGTATTTGCAGGGTGCCAGTCAGACCATGACCACTCTGAAGAACCTGGTCCACAAAGGAGTTAAAGTGGATTTGGGTCTGCCGTTTGAGCTGTGGGACGAACCCTCTGTGGAAGTGTCCGACATGAAAAAGCAGGTAGGAGGACGAGTGTGTGTGCGCCTGTCTGCCTTTAATTTAAAGTGTTTTCATTTAAAAGGTTGTGTGTAGATTTATTCATGTGCACATTGTCAAATGAGTAAGAGGTGAAAGAGAATTCGTATCACCTACATGTATCATTTATTATAAGAAAAGTTATTAAAAACAGAGGAAAATTCTATTGCTAATGCATCATAACAGTAGAATTATATATAGTAATGTACCTACTTTTTACGTGTGTGTTGTTGTTCAGTGTGAGACGATGCTGGAGCAGTATGAGGAGGTTGTGGAGGACTGGTACTTCCATCATCAGGACCAAAGGCTGGAGAACTTCCTCTGTGAGAACCACGTCCTCAAGACATCAGAGCGAGGTAAGACGACGGGGGGTTGGTTACACTCGTAGTCTAAAGCTGCTTCAAATTGTTTTTTAATTCTTTAATTGTTTTAAGTCTCATCAAACACTTCCAGATACATGAACCTGAAATGTTGTTCCGAATATCACAAGGTCTCCACGTGGTCTTAAAGTCTACCATCCAGTAGTCTGGTTTTAAAAATGTTTTGGATTAATGACGTTAATGTTTCTTGTATAAAGTTGCATTTTTCAGTCTCACTTTTAAATGTGTTTTTGGGAAGAAACTGTATTGATTAAGCTGTAACAACTACAAAATGAACCCAACCTTGAACCAATACCGACTGTCCTTCATATCTCTCATACTTAATCTGCCAGTAAGAACTTAAAATATGTCTTAAATTACATTTATAATGGTCATAAAAGTCTTAAATTTTACCTGTTGACACCTGCCCTTTGTCAGGTGACACATATAAACCAATGTAAGCACCACGTTTAAAAGCACTTAATCACATCAGATAATAAACTATGTAGCCTCCTCTTATGTGTGTTTTTTTCCCCTCCTCTCAGAATGTATGGAGGAGGTGTGGAAAGGAGACTTGGCGACCGAAGGAGGTGCCAAGGAGGCAGAAGGCGACAGCACAGACGAGGAGGGAGCCAATGAGAAGGAGGCAAAGACGCACGACGCTGCGGAGCTATGAGGAAAAACAAAAGGGAAATGCAGAATACAATAAAATAACCTCATTTTTTTAGCTTTCGATGGGCAAACTGCAAAGAAATGATGAACTGTGACACAATCCGATTCTGGCTGGATGTGACATACGTTCGACTAGCACTATTTCTGGTGCCAAATATTTGTTAAAACCTTTAGTAGAGTTTACATTTGGAGTTATAATAGTGTCAAATGATGGTTTTATAGACTTTAACACTACATTTCTCCTGTTTTTATATGAATGTCAGCCTTTTAAGAACTTTTGCACCTTTTTTTTTAAAACACTCTTACCATGAATATTAGAGACCTTTCCAGTTTTATATTTTGTGTAAACGCTGTTACATCTCTCCTCATGCCAACACTACATGGTACATATCAGTATTTTTTACCCCAGTTTGCAGTCTTTAAATGCAATATGTACAGTTTTTCCATTGAGAATAAAATACTTTTTATAACACTCTTGGAGTTTTTCTACATTTTATTACAGAAAAATGTCCTTAAATAACACAAAAGCCCCATTTTTGAAGTTAGTCAACATGTGTGATTGTGACTGATGGTGACTGATGAAGGATAATTAGTCTCAGGTGTGTTCCTGTTCACAGCCACAGGAAGAAACTTTTATCAGAAGACACCACAATGCCTCTTATTTCCATCTACTTTACAGTTTCTCTTTATATTCTCTGTAAATTAGAGACAATCCAGTGCTACACTTATCAAACCAAACCACTTTTTCTGTCTTTCTCTGACTTGGCTGCGCTTGAAGCAAACTCTTTGGATCAGACAAACAAGCCAAACTCTCACTCTGGAGATCACAAAGTCAAGACCTTTGTGGTGAAATGTCACGAGGACAGCATTGAGGTTGTGATGAAAGTTTATCTGTTTGACCCTGTCCTGCCTGTGGAGCCCGAGCGCTTCAGGCTCGGACCTGCCAGTGTGGAGCAACATCACTGCAAAGCCAAAGTGTCTGGAAATGGAGAATACGTCATCAGAGCGCCTCTGACTGACTGTGGCAGTAAAATGATGGTTGGTGAGCCTCTTAATAATTAAACACATAATGTTTGTTTTACAGAAGGGGCAAGAAAAATGACATAAACCTGTGTTATAGGGATCATTGCTGCCTAATGCTGCCACCTAGTGGTTGTAGTTTAATAGTGCTGTTATATGTAGTTCACCCAGAGTGCTGTGCTGTACAACAACCTGCTGCTCTACTCTCCTCCTCCAACATCAGCTGGAGACATGTTTCATGGAGGAGAAGCAGCTGCTGTTCCAGTCCAGTGTGAATATAGAAGGTACATTTACACACACAGAATGGTCTCTAGAGCTTTATATGTGTTGCTGATGCTGTGTATAGTTGGTGAAATAGCGAGCAAGCTTTATTCACGTGCAATAGAAACATTTTTTACATGGAAAGAGGGAGATAGAAGACAGAAAACAGCATATATACAGAGAAAAAAGTGTAAAAATCTACTAAGTTAAAGCTCTAAAATGTAGAAAAGCCATTGAAACACTGACTTTGGAGAATTTTCCAGAGTTGAGGAGAGCTGCATTAGTTTTTTAGCTTTAAAAGGATAGAGTCACATTTTTTTTTCAAGCCTGGTGTAAAACAATACTCGATCATTTGAAATATCTATATGATGTCTATAAACTGCCATGAAGAAATCCCTTCTTAATGTAATTTTAATGGAAGAAAGGGGACAAAACAGAGGTCAGAGGGCATAAACCTGACCATGTAATACTTTGTATATCAAGAGTAAAAATTTAAAAAAGTAAAAAAATTAGCTAAATTATAAACTTGTGTAATGTGTGAACACTGTCTTTTTGTTGAAAGCGATCTGGATCCTTTGGAGTCTAGATAGTGAAGATGTTTTAAAAATTAACATTTAACTTTCATTAGTTCCTTTGCTCGGTAAAGATAATTTTCCTCCTGTTTCCTACTAGTTTCTGTAATAAAAATGATCTCTCCTGTGATTATGTTTCCTGTTTGAAACCCCTCCACCTTGCAGGAGGTACACCGTGAGCAGCAGGGCCCTGAAACCAACCTGGACTCCCCTGATCTCCATCCAGTCAATGCGCCTCCAGCTGGACTTCCACCTCAGGCTCATGACGGGTGATTTAAAATTAAACTACTATTATATTTGACACTGAGGACAATTAGTGTTGAATGTTCCTAGTTACAGCTCTGACCCAAAAAACCTTTAAAATATTTTGTGTGTCTCGTCATTCCTCAGATGACTGGAGCAGTGAGAGAAAATCATCTGTTTACTTCCCGGGTGAAACAGTCAACATGGAGGCCTCAGTTGATCATCATCCTCTTCCTCTTCGTCTGTATGTAACCAGCTGTGTGGCTACTCTGACCCCTGATGTGAATTCATACCCCAGATACCCCTTCATAGACCACCACGGGTGAGTACTTTGTATCTTTAATGTCTACAGTTGTTCCTCCAATTAGTTTTCCAAATTAAAACTACTTCCTTTGAATCAGTTTTTAGTGGCCCAGGTTTGCTTGCATAAATCTGGTTTCTGTATCCCATTCTTATAAAATGCAGCCAAATTACTGATGTAATAAATGCTGAGGGCAGAAGTTAAATCTGATAAGGATGTGTGTTCTTTCCAGATGTTTTACAGACTCCCAGCTGAACGGCTCCAGCTCCCGTTTCCTGCCCAGAGTTCAGGACCAACTCCTCCAGATCCAGCTCCAACCTTTCCTCTTCCACCAGGACCACAGACACACTGTCAGCACTGATTTCACATGTTTTATATATATATAGTTATCTATGGTATAAAGAAAAATACCTCAGCATGTGTCATACTGTCTCCTATAGATGTATATAACATGTTACCTGGAAACAGAGCCCATTTCAAACAGGGACCCAGTGAAAAGGGCTTGTTCTTTTATGAGCGGGAGGTTGGTTTGGTCTTCTTTCTGTCCACCATTAAATATAAATACTTAACTTATTCTCAAAAAACATGTGACATATATAAAAAGGTATCAAAAATGTTCTCAATCTGTCAGGTGGAGGTCAGTGGATGGTGATGACCGTGTCTGTGAGAGCTGCCGCAGTGCCAGGTCCGACCACAAGAGGGCACTGAGGAGCAAGCACAGGCAGACTGTATCTGATACAAGTATGTTGTGTTTAGGACTAAATATTGTGTTTATAAAATGATCAGCTGATTAAAGTAACTCATATTTTCTGTCCTTGCAGAGTTGCAAATGGGAACCAGTTTGGGTCCAGTGATATTTCTGAGTACAGTGAGGAAACAGAAATATCTGTATTAAAATAAATGAATCTAATAAAAACTGTGTTAAAGCGCTTGTCACATGTAAGAAAATATATTATATTATAAGTTATATTTTTAAGTGCAGACTAGAGGCACTAGAACAAATTCACCATTTATAATACATAATAATAAATAATTATTACAATAATTGCACAAAGATTAAAACCGTTCAGAGCTGCAATGAAAGAAAAAGAAAATTAATTGAAAATAATCCAAAATAAAATACCCAACAATAATATAAGATAAAAAACAAAAACTATTGAAAGAAATAAAACAGTGTGTTTCCATGACAATAGACAGTGGACACCAAATTTTGTAAAGTGTTGACTGAAGCAGCAATGTTATCTTAATACTAGGAATGTTGCTTTTACTCTTTATGTTTTAACATCAATGTGTTTCCAACACTGTAATGAAACTCAACTGGATCAGATCGTCTATCTATTAATCAATAAATAGTCTCCAGGTGTAATAATAACAGATAAATTACTACATCCAAAAATAAAACCCGTGAATTCCTTACTTTCTTTGTAATTTATTTAGGCTTTTCTTTTCTCAGGTTGTGGTTTTGTGTATTTTGCTGAACTCTTCTGTTTGTCTGCGGTCTGATTTTCCTTCATCACTACAGGATGAATTATAACTTTATTTTAGTCATCAAAGTCTGACTGGTGAGATCAGTCGAAAAAGGGAAATGTGTAACCACATGTGGTTTATTTTTCAACCTTGCGTAATAGACCTTTAAATATCAACATCTGTCAACACTCTTCTGAAATAGATTAAATGCAACTTTGTTTGATGAAACTCCACTAAAAGCCTCAATACAAAACATTCTCCCCCCATTACATAGGAGGGTCACCGAGTGTTGACTGTGGTGGTCATTTTGTTCACTTTCGAAGCTTCCATTTTTAATCTTTAATAGTTTTGAGTGTTTCCTTTTATTAGAGCTGCATTTCTTCCAGTTTGTTTCTTGTTTAGCCGTAAAACACAAATGATCCGGGAACATTTACCCCAAATAATACTGAGAAGAAGTTACTTAAAGTCCGCCTCCACTTAAAAATGTTTTTTTTTTCTTGTTCCTTTAGTCTGATGTTTAAATGATGTCTGTACAGAGTTTGACACCAGAAGAATGTTTTCACATTTATCTACTGAAAGTAGAAAGTTTCTCTGTGCTCAGTTAAAATCAGATGTTAACGGGCAGGATTTGTGACATCACAAATAGTTTGACAGTAACATCCTGGTCAAGTAAGAACTTATACGGGTGTAATGTAGAAATCTGAAGCCGCCAGTGCACAGACACTGAGAATGGACTTCACAGTGAAGGAGGAGACATCTTGTGTCCAACAGGAAAACTTTAGAAATGAACAAAATTAACATATTTATAGATTATGACATTTTTAATGAGGTAGAAGGAGTTGATGCCTTTTTAAGGATGTGGAAATTATCCATTTTTATTGGAAATCAGACACACGTTATTGTTCCAAGCAGACTGTTAAAATATAATATATGTCTGGATGTGGATAATGGACACAAACTTTTATACTTTATGTACAAACAGGTGGTTGCTCTTGGCTAACAATGCTCCCTTAGACTCTTCGCTACAAAATGCCTGTTGGGATTCATGGATTTCTAACTCGTTACGAGCAATTTGTTTTCTACCTTTGAGGACAATGTACAGTCATATCATCATCAGCAGAAGGTAAAACGTTCTGGACATTTTACACATCTGTTCTCCTGACCATTGATCCTCAAACGCAGCAGGTTAACTTTGCGGTTTATTGGAGTTTTCCTTCACTGCGGAACAACAATCTGCTCCACATCATCCAGCACCTGTCAACACTCAAAGACAAAGTGAGGGGAAAAACAAAAACATTGCATTTGGATTCATGGCAACCAAGATAATCTTCCACAATCGTTTATCTGCCAACTATGTTTTAGAGCCAAAGCTGTCAGTCAAGGTTGCATTTTTTTTTTTTTCAAGAAAATGTTCTTCTTGCATTAAAACAAACAGACAAAAAATCCATCATAGTTTAGAGATTAATGTAGATTTTTGAGGTACAATGATGCCATTTTGTGTCCAGAGGTGATCATCCGGATGAGTCGATAAGAAAAGCATGTTGCAATGTTCATGTCAAAAGTCTGTCCATCATTTCCTTCCTCTCCATACTGCTGTATACATTGGAGAAGGTCAGAGGGGAGGGAACGTGATCTCCTTGAAGATCTACTTAGATGAGGGGGAGGAAAGGGGGGAGAGATCCCTGAAATGGACAGGACATGTGAGATACATCTCTAAGTTAATAGAGGATCCTCTTACAGCTTCTGAACCTTGATATACCAAAGTAAAACACACACTGAATGGTGTTCATTTCTTTACTCTAATTGTTATTTCTTTCATTCCTCACTGCGGCAAAATTATGTCTCTCTTCCAGGAACATTTACAAATTAAACATAAATCTGCAGGTGTCATGTTGAACTGCCTTGTTTCTACCAAACACTGGTTTGAGACCAGGGCCTTTCGCCATTCTTCTATGGGGTTGTATTCTGCAACGACAATGCTAGATGTCATTAAATCTGCTCCTTTAAAACCACAACACAGTAGCTTGGATCATTAAATCTCCTGTGTTGAAGTCCAATATTTTGTTCTCATCCATTGAACTCGACTTCCTGCCTACAAGGACTTTGTCGCTCCATAACAACGTCACCTAACTTCCTCTTTTACTCATAATTACTAAGGCTGCTAGAGGACTTTGTTATTTGATCATAAATATATGCCTTGTGTGGGCACTTGACAGTCTCCAAGATATTTAAATTTAGTAGCTTAATCAATCTTTTCAACCCTAGATATGAATGTAAAGACTGAGGGGCTGTAAAAATAGGTTTTGTTGTTAGCTTTACAAGTGCTAGCTCAGCCGTTTTTGCATTTATATACAATAGTGTCATCAGCATATATTCTCAGTTCTACCCTGTGACACTGCTGTGGGATGTTATTAATATAAAGACTAGACAGGGGGGCCTAACAGTGATCCTTGAGGTACACCCGGTATCTTCAATTCATTTTATTTTCCTCTGAGGTAAAGATCTCCTAACGAAAATGGACCCTTCTTGTAAGATTAATATTCTTCTAAATTAATTCACTGTTCCCCTTTTCCTCATTCATTATATTGAGAGAAAATTTAATTCCAGTTAATGTCAGTTCACTTGAATAACTGTTTCTCATTTCAAGCCTTTATAAATCAACATATCTGTATCTTATCTAACTTTCATTGCTTTCCTTCATGCTGAATCTGTGTCCTTTATCAGTTTCAATTTATTTTCATTAAACCAGAGTAGACGACTTTTACTCTTCTCTTCTGGACATTTGCTGTAAATCTTTATCTTTTCTTCCATTACAGAGTTATTTCTACTTATGTGTTACAGCCATATTTCAGATCATCAGACGAAAGCACAGCCTCCCATTTGTGGTACTAAAAGATGCATTTATGTGTTTCTTTGCTGCAGTTGAGAAATGAATATACACTGTGGATTGGGAATATATATATCATTTACATCTTCACTTTTATATCTGATCATTAAACTGAACTACAATGTTATACTGTAGCACTTTCAATATATAAGCACAGCTAATCCATCAAACAGACTCCCATGTATTGTGAAATCTGCTCTTATTCTGTCACGGTGGCTTAATGTTGACTTTTATAATTACACCTCCATGGTATTTTGTTTATTATGATTTCAGTCTCTCAGCACACTCTTAGCTGCAGGGTGCAAACTTTGGCAGCACAAAGCACCTGTCAAGGACCACCTGAGGTGTTTTGTTAAACAGCTAAACATTTTCTTATATCATTTTTAGGGAGGGTTTCTGTTATCACTTAGTATTTGTGTTGTTTCAATTATTCATTAAATGGTACCAGTTTAGTTCACCTCCATCTCAGCTCACTGAAATCTCTTGTGTCTTTGTGTTTATGCTGCCAAAGTGCAATATTGACGCATAAACGTGCTATTTTACCCCTCAATTTACTTTATTGCACTTGTCCTGCATCCAAGGATAGCATTTCTTAACTGCACTGTAACTACACACACACACACACACACACACACAAAGCACAAAGCACAAAGCACACCTGGGGAAACATTCCTCGAGGGAAGTCATCAATCAGTTTTATGGCTTTCTCTGGGAAAGTTTCCTCCTCTCCAATCAAGCGTCTTCCCTCCCTCCACCTCGATTCTCTTTCTTATATTTCCATCTGTATCAGTTTTGGTTCACATCTGAGAACCATCCACTCGAGCCAATTAACTTCAACCATTTTTCCTATTCCACTGAGGGATAATTGGAGCAAACTGGAGGGGGAGATCCTTGCCTGGATGATATGAGATAAGACTTGTGCAACTGGCTTTCCTCTGTGTCCTCAATTTTGCCCGCCAGTGGTAATAAACCTGAAGTTGGAGGATCTGCACACACACAAAAAAATTACCCTCGACAAGCCATGAAATATTTAATTGAGTCTTAAAATTCCAATTTTCTTTTAAAGAGGGAAAAACTGCCTTGAAAGTTGAAAAAAATGCCACTTGTCTGTAAAAGCAGATCAACCTGTTTCCAGGAACTTTTCCCCCTCAAGTGTGTTGACATTTTCTCCAGAGCTTGCAACAACCAATACAGTAAAATGGCCTATTTTCAGATAAATGATGATACTCTGCGTGCCAACAAGAGACTGTAATGTGTTACCAGTAGTGGGAAGCTTTCAGATCCTTTAATTAAAGCCCCTGAAAACCTATTTCCTCAATTAGCTCCTTATTATGTGCAACAGGATCCTACAAGAACATAAGAGTTCCTGCCAAAGTTTAAATTGAGAGATTTTTTCTTATTTATGTGTCTGAGCTCTTCTCACTGATTCTCTGTGGGGACAAGTTGATGTCTTTACTTCAGTGCACCAATCAGGATTTAGCAACAGTTTAATGAGTTTGCTTTGTTGCCCACAGTCCTGATTTACAGTTAAACTCTTAATGATAATTAAATATGTTTTTCATTTTCAGCTTTTAATAAAAGCAGAAATTCCTTGTTAAAAATATACACAAATTATCAAAAGAAAAAGTACTAATTATGAAAAATAATAATTTTCTGAATGTATTATTATTACTACTACTAATGTATTAACATTAAAGAGGCAGTTTAATGTTGTAGTTGTATTAACTGAATCACAGTGATGGAGGAAGCATTCAGATCCCTTAACTTATTATTACTTACAGATATATTAGCACCAAAATGTACTTAAAGTACTTTAATTGCAGAAACATAGCCCATGTGCTGCATTTTCTGTTTGCACATGGATCATGTGGAAATCATAATATACAAAGTGGAGTAAAAAGTGCAATATCTTCCTCTTTATTTTATTTTTATCTAATTATGGCCTTTGAGTCAATAAAGGCCTACTTTGGTAGTTTTTACTTTTACTTTATTAAAAAAAGACCATATGCACAAAAACATTTATCTTAAAATGAGAGAAGATTACTGTGTACTGTATCAATAAATTGTCAAACAATAAAACATTCTGTACCTATTTCTACATTAAAAATACGTATTATATTATCTACTAATCATTTATTGACAAAAAAAAGTCAAGTCAAAGGCGAGTTAGGAGCAAAAAGTAGGAATCAACATTAAAACTACCCAAAGCAAACGTTATCCAAAACATTTCAAACCTGAAATCAACAAGGAATTGAACTCTTAAAAAGGTTATCAATCAGTTCAACAGCGCCCTGTTTGAGTCTGATCGATACATTTTACCATGTGAGGCAGTCTGGCAGAGGTGCGCTGTGCGTCGAGCAGGATGTGACTCCTCTCGATGGTGGGAGCACTCTTGGCTCACTTCAGTTACTATATGGAGAGACGCACCTCCCAGCTGATCCCGTTAATTTATCTCCCCCCTCCTCCTCCTCATCTTCCTCCTCCTCCAGTACCCGGTGTGTTGCCCCCTCTCGGTAGGTTTGTCTTCTGCTGCGCTCCTCTCGCAGACGCGCTTGGAGCTGGATGTCCGGACACTTGCTGCGCGTCTCTTCATGATCAGGAGGAACCGCAGGAGCAGGAGACGTAAGGAGAAGGAGAGTCACTGGGACGCACATGGTGAGCTCTGCTGATTTATATCTCCCTGTTTCTCAATGTTTATTGGCTCAGACTCTTTAAGGTGTTTGTGAGGTTTTTTTATTTTTTTTATCTCTGTTGGAGTCGCGCGTAAAGAGCGAGTGATCTTGTATTTCTGTCGCTGTAAAATAATACAAATAAGGCAGAAATGTACTGAAATGTGTTTGTAAAATGCATCTTGGAAATTGCACCAGAGGAGGTTTTATCACCATGATGCGTTTTCTGGTCTAAAAGTATCTAATAATTTACCAAACGGACAAAGTAGCCCGACATCGCTGCTCAACGTATCTCTAGAAATTCTACCGACAGGCGAGACTTGAACCTATTTCTATTTCTTATTATATTTTAAAAACATAAATATTTGGTTATTTATGTTTATTCTACTGTATCAGACTGATTATACTGTTTGGACTAATGGGCAAGTTTGCTGTAGTCTTATTTATGTTTTCTAAATTATAAAAACTCATGTCAGTATAGATCCAAAGTTGATGTTTGAACGTTTTTACTTTAAAAACTAACTTTGATTTTCCTCATAACTCCTTAGATTTAATAACTTACACAAATTGTTGCAGCATGGGATAATCCCACCTTTATTATGATATAACTGTAAGACATTTAAAGAATATAACTTGTCTTTAAGTCTTGTTGCGGATTAAATAAAAAATAAAATGTGAGAACATAAAATATGAACATAACAAGCGGCACCAGCATTAATTATAATTAGCTGGCCTTAAATTGTAAAAACAAAAAATCTGTAATGCCAAACACACACGAGACTAATTTTCCAGACTTTTACAAAGTTGTTTGATCAAACTGTGATAGCTTTGACACTGTAAATATTATTGTTCCTCTCTGTGAGATAAAGCTAATTGACTGCAGCCAATTTCTGCTCAACAAGTGCAATTAGCTCTGGAATGGAGGCAATTAGTCTCCTGCCAAAGTAATCAGACTAAACATGATAAACATTTGCGTTTAATGAACCGAGGCGAGTGAATCATTATTCTGAGGTTCATAAAATGCAACGCCCGCAACCTGCGTGTGACTGCGGGCTGTTTTCCTTTTAAGGTCCGTCTGTAGTTAATTAGTTTCCTTAAAATCCCTTTACAGCCCTCGTATCCGTGAGAAAATATACCGTATTTCCTTTAATAGACATTTAATGCAAATTGCTCATTTTCTTTTTTTTTCCAAAAAGGGCGTATATATATATATATATTTCTAACTACAGGCCTTTAGTGTGCTTAATGAAAAACTGCTGTTATTTATTTTCTATAATCTGATGACTAATTTATTATTACAGTTGCCTTTAAAAAAAAAAAAAAGACATGTGCTTTGTATTTGTTTTTGGTGTGTTTGTGATTTTATTTTACCTCTTTATTAACCTCCTGTCAGATATTGTGTGGATTTAATTGACACGCAATTAAAACCTTACTTTTATTTCCATCATGCCCGAGGTTGTCTTTGGCGTGACTGCAACGTGGAATCACAATGATTTCATTTCCATCTGTTTTTCAATATCAACATGTGAGTTGGAGCTGCTGGAGAGCGTCTTGCCAACTTGTATGAGGCTGTAAAGGGGGGAGAATTGACAGGAAACTCGCTTTCAAATATCAAGTGGGTAACATGTGTTTTTTTATTCAAAAATGAAGTAAGCATGGCTCACGGGTCAACGCAGAGGCAGAGACACCCTCCTTGTGTCTGTGGAGGTACAGTTGGCCCCTGGGGGCCCCGCACATGCACCGGATTGGCAGTTTGTTGGAGGTGCAAACGTGAAGGACAGAGGCCTTTAGCTAAAGATACAAGCAGTGATAATCCATTTTGTGCTGTCTGTTGCTTCCACCTCCTGGGCTGCCCCACTAAAATTAGATTATTACACCTAAAACAGAACTCCTGGAATCTGCTCCGTGTGGAATAACACACACATGGGCTTCAACTGTGCAGGCAGGAATGCAGTTTGAGAATACAGACCGCATACGTAGCCTCTCTCTTCCCTCCCGAAGCCCAGTGTTGTATTTCTGACCGGCTGAGGACAATTGCAAATTAACAAAGGTGTCAGTGTGGTAACATGCACCAACAGGTGCCTTGGTTCAGCTTCAAACATGTAGAGCTTATATAATTGATCATATTTATTTAAAGGCTCCGTGTCTTAGAGCAGAGTTGCAATGTAGAACCCTGGGAAATCTTCCCAGCGACTATCAGCCTGATATAAAACTGCCTCTTTAAACTGCGCTGTTTATTTGTGCAAAGGGCTATTTAGTCTTTTAAAACTCATCACCGAGCAGGAAAGCAATTTGAATTTAACATATTTGCCTCCGTCCTGCTGGCAAGGGCTGCTGTCCATGACGAGGAATGTTAAAATGTGTGAGACAGGCCAAATCCAGCTCATCTGCTCACCAGAACAGCTCCAGAGTCAGACAGGCCCACAGCTCTAAAGTGTGAACAGGCCAAAGAGAGTTAACAGGTAGCAAGAGAGAATACCACACACCAGACGTTATACGCTTTATTTCTGCAACTTAAAGTCCCACTAAATCCCAATATATGAGTTTGTTACTGCAGAATAAAGCTCTAAAATGTACATTTATAGGTGAAAACACTGATAAATTCCCATATTGCTACTCCTCAATGCATGTGCTTTCCTCTTTGATTCTCTGCCTGGGAACCGGCATTAATAAAAAAACAAATAGACTCAGAGGTACCACAGGACAACATAACTACAAACACATACAAATAAAGATCTCTGATTGCTGTTTTATTACCCCATGGAGTCACATTTCCCTCTGATAACCTCGCCATACTCATAAAAATACAAGTACTAGTCAGTATAATACTGACGGGGTCGTGAATACTTATGCAAACAAGTATTTAATATTTGCAATTAATATACGTGACATTGGTACGATATGATTTCCCTTTGACATTTGTGTTTATTAGCGTCAGAGAAGCTGCATTAAATCTTCTTTGATTCAATGTTGTAAGACAATAAATAATATTTGTTATAGCCAACGTATATATATGCACAAATTCTTGTTACTTTAGCTCTTCCAAACCTTAAAAACAATCCATTTGTTTTCCTTCCCGACTTTAACATTTTGGCTCTCTCAAGTTCCTGAAGACATATTTCAGCATGATGAAGAATAATAGAAGCAGAATTACATTAGGAAAATAAATAGGGACTGCAGAGCACGAACATGAGCGTCGCTTTCCTCGCTCTCCTCTGTTCGACTATGCTGTAAACATGCCCCCAGGTTGTCAGCAAGTATTTTTCCAGCCCCTTGCCAGCCAAGCATAGCTGCTTCTAAAGATCACCCGCCGGAGATGTTGATCTCATCTTACCACTATTTGGCTGTATAAGCTTTTTGAAAGACAGAGATTGCTGCCAAGTTATGTCAAAACTTTTTCTCTGAAACTTAATGTGTCCAAAAATTTAGGCATATTGGTATTTTTTTAAGGGTTGTTTTCTGTCATTCAGAACTCAACTTGACATTTGCTGGGGAGAAAGAAAAAAGGGGTTTGGAGGCTTCTTTCAGACACATGCGATTTGCAGTCAATATGCATCAAACAGCACTTTACACTGAATGCCGCTCATCTATAACATGTTCTTCCGACACCTCGGCTCCGTGAATTTATGGAAAGCAGGAGAGAAAAACCGTTGTAACCATATCCGGTGGGTTACGGTGCCGGTGCCAGACAGATGATCTGGTTTCGGAAGAAGAGAGAGTCTGGATTTGGCCTAGAGGGGCGCATTAAAAACCTCAGGGGCCTCTCTCAGATGAGCATCCATTTATCAAAGTGGTTGTAATGGGCCGATGTTTAATTAGTCATGTAATGTGACAAAGACAAGAGCAAGTGCATGTCATGGGAATGTTAAACAACCGCCCCCTTTCTCTTCTAGCCTCGTGTGTTTCACTTGTCCCAACCCTGAACCCCCGACCCGCCTACGCTCATTCGTCATTCCTCATCCTGAATTCTTCCAGCACTTCTCTGAATCCTCTAATAACCTTTACCCTGCTCATAATCCCTTTAACACTGCCTTCCCTTCTTACACAGCCAGGACACTGACACCACATGAAACCAGAGACCTAATTAATCACCCGATCAACTATAAGTCCTGCTTTTATCAGTGCGTTCAGGTTCCCACAGGGCATGTCTCGACGCGTCAGGAATGACCAACCGAGGCATTCTGGACCCCAGGAATGTGGCTTGGTGGCACCAGGGTCACAGTCAGACCGCTCATCGCCACAGTCTGTGCTGGTAGCGTTTCCTGTAGCAACACCATCAAACAGGGTCGCCTGATATGCCTGATCTTGGCTTTTGTCCTCACAACCAGGTTTGGTTGATCCACTTTCTAGCACGTCTTTGCCATGCTCCCGACCTCCAAAAGCGGTTTGTCAGAGACAGTCGAGGGGAGTGCCACAGCCTCCTCTCAGGCCCCTCAGAGCTGTGTGGTCCCTGAGGGAAGCCTCATATTTCGGTCGTTGGCTAATTGAGCAGGATGACGAGGCCGGTGAGGCTCTCAGCCCCGTCCTCTCCTATGGGTTTGGTTTATGCAGCCCTGCTGACTTTGCTGTCAGTGTCAAACGCTTGTTAGGACATCATCAATCTCGCAGCAGTTAAGAATATTCCCAGAACAGAATGAAGGGGGCAGGTGATAGATGGGCAGGGAGACGTAAGGGCAGAGGCAAAGCTGTTTGAAAATATGGAAGGAAGGTAGTTATGGGTGAGAAAATGACAGTCCTGTTGTGGAGGAAATAAACATGATTGACACAAAAAAAGAAAAGTGGAAGGTGTTGAACCTTCTTTGCAAGAAACAAGTAAAAGAAGTGATTGTTGGGAATTTGCTTCTGGGCCTCTTGTGAGCGGTAAAAACTAATAAATCACTGGTTCCACAGAAAGTGCACGCATTGTTCGTTTTGTCCACATGCCAAAATTAACGCTCTAGGGTATCAAATCTTTTGACAGAGGAATAAATTACACTCATCACCAGTTGTAACAGACAGGA